GAGATGCAGACTCAAGCTACCATCGGATTGATGTGCTCAAAAATTCACCTCATAAAGAGAACATCATTGGTTGCCGTCGAGAGGAAGTGCTGTGCTCATGACTTCTACACAGAAACGAATCTAGCTTGAGCTCAACAGAGGCTCAAGAGCTGCTTGTTCACTTTCAAATGAAGCCTGTAAAGAGGATGCCGATGTGCACTCCTGCGGCACACGGAAGAGCAGCTGCCATATGATTGTTCCAAGAGGAACAAGAGCACAGGAGCTCATGGCAAACAAACCACCAGTGTATCAATGTAGCTAAATGCCGGGTTTACTGTAAAAATTATTCAGCGGCTTCTAAAAGTTCACTAAATCAGATATTAGATTGATCCACGAAGCAGAACATTAAATCAAGAGGAGTACAGAAATCAAGAGCAGCAACACCACCAACACAAACACCAACAACAGAACCAACAACACCACCACCAGCAGCAGCACATCAACAAACACCAGCAACTATCAACAATAACATCAGTATCAATGCTACCAACTACCAACACCCTCATTACATTCACTGACAATAAAATCACCAAAACCCGCAACAAAAGCAACATCTTTGATACAACCAAGAGCAGCAAAACCGACACAAACACCATTATTACCACCATCAAAGCAAAAAAACAATAAAAGCAACACAAACTCTACCACCAACACAACCATCACCAACAAGGGCATCACCAACAGCAACTGCAGTAGCACAGCTTAAACCACCAACACTAACAGCAAAACTAGCAACATAAACACCAGCCCCTACACTGCCAAAATCTACAACCAATACCACCATTACCTTCACCAACAACACAAACATCACCAGCAACAAAGCTGCCAACAATAGGACCACTGTAACAACCAATAACGGCACAAACAGCAACACCACCACAAGCAGCAGCACACCTTCAAACACCAAAACTAGCTACATATACATCTGCACCTATGCTACCAATACCAACAATCACCAACCCTAACAGAAGCAGCACCATCCACGACAGCAACAGTAACAAAACCAACAAACACCATTATTACTACGACTATTACAAAAAACAATAAAAGCCACACAGACACCACCACCAACACAACCATCACCAACAAGAGCAAAATTAAGACCAAACACTAATACAACAACAAGATGCCAAGTTGGCAGAACCCACTCCACACACAGGCTCAGTGTTGAATAGGAAGGAGTGATGCAGTCAATTAGTAGATTGGAAATTCCTGGAAGGATAAAAAAAAAAAGACTAGGTGTAACCCTTGTATCAGAGAGTCAGGACCTTGGTAAAACTTCTCTTCACAGATCACAGGTCATACAAATTACATCTGCGCCACCTCCCACAGTAACATGGTGTTCCTACATGATTGGTCCTTCCAAGACTCTGCCCTCCATAGCTTCAGTGGGAAACCAATCTTGGCTGCAGCTTTCAGGGGCCATACATTAGAAATATAGAGAACAAGTTTCAAATTGACAAAACACAATTCACTTCGAGCATGTGTAAGCGGAGGGAAACCTTCAAGCAAAACGAAAGAAAGAAGAGAGTTCAGGGCAGTTTCCAACATGTGCAAAGCACCCTGTAATTACTAGACCCCCATTCTGCTGCACTGAACAATATGAGCCAATTAAACTCATCCCCGTGCACCATGGACCTGAACGGAGAATGCATGATGTCCTCTCGACATAATTACTAATAATTTCCTGTCTCAGTGCTGGAACAACCTGTGCTCTTTTAGCAGACTGGACTTGCCTGGTCTACCAAACACAGTCTGCATCAGATTAATAGCTTCTGAGCTGAGCTATGCTATTCGATTTTTCAAAAACAGTGATCTTTTCTGCATGGGAAAATGCTAGACAGGCTTTTTTGTGAATGGGTTGTAGGAGTGGCACTCTATTGCTCTGCAGTGTGAGCCGTATGGTGTCACGGGAAACGGTCAATAAAATCTAGGCTCAATGACATTCATCTTTGCTACTTTTAAATGGTTTTAAAGTAGGGCTGTACAAATACGGACCAAATAATCATATTGTGATTTTATTTGTAATTTTGGCAACGTAAATCAAAAGCCAAAAAACTGATTACTCTCTTAAAGGTTTTTTTTTTTTTGCCAGCATGTCCACCATTTCTGGTTTTCAGCATGAACGGTGGCATGTCACCACATCTTCACCAGAACTAAACACTTTCTCCGAAGCTGAGCTGGTGGCAGAATACAAAGATTCATTGTGCGCAAGGTGAGCTCTGATTGGTTAACACATTTCTCCCGCTCTGCTGTAATTGCCCGGTGCCTGCGTCAGCTCTGATTGTTTTACATATTATAATCATGCGCACAAAAAACATATTCTGAATAAAAATTTTAATAAATGAACGGACACAATTGCAGGCTTATGCAATTACGAATTGTGTTTAAACGATTTTGTTTGCGATTGTGATTAATAGATATTATCTTTATGTAATATACACTTGATTATGTGATAATCTTTTAGCAGATCCTTTCAAATAAAAGGCTTGATTTTAATTCAGTTTTTAGTAACATAACCAAATACAACCGCAAGCAGTAATACAGGGCTAAGCATCCAGAAGGAAAACGTGTGTAAAAAAAAAATTTCCCGCAAGCGGTTCATAGGGTTGACATTAGCTGTGTCCAAATCCAGGTTCTAAAAGCCTCCGGAGGGTCCTTCCTACCCAGTCTTTAAGGCTACGGCTTGAGAGGATCCTCAGAAGGCTGCAAAACCCCTTGGTAAACAAGACGGTCTATCCTCTTATTCTTCTTCTGTTATTTCTTGGCAGTTTGCTTTTGGTGCATTAGCGCCACCAGCTGGATCAGTAGTTTGGATCCTGAATTGAATGAATGAAACGTTCTTGTATTATTAATATTTTTCTTTAAGCTATTCTTTTAAATTTATGTTTTGTGAATAATAAATTTGTAAGATCACTTCAAGTTCTATTGTTGCTTAATTTATTTTCTAGGGTTTTAGGGTTTATTTTTTATTTCTTTCTTTTTGTCTTTTTTTATTTTGAATACATTAAATTGGATATTAAATATTTAATAAATATTAAATTTTACATTGTGTGTAATTTAAACCAGTATGTTGTTCTAGCTTCATTCTGTTTTCATAAGTTTTATAAACTCCTTCATCTGCTTCTTAAAACATAAAGACATCCACCAAATACTTAGTTAACATTAATTTGGCTGCATGTAGCAATGTTTACAATAAATGTTAAAAATAAAAATATGTTTTACAATTCGCCTATCACTACCAGCATTTAATGCTTAAATATACTGTCCTTTATTTAAAAAAAAAACATGTTACTTACATGTAAATACAAATTCAAGTGTGTTTTGTGTTGATTCTACTGAAAAAAAAACATTGCAAAGCATTGTGGGATATCTGAGGCCACAAAGGATGGTCGCGATGCATCCTCCGAATTCAGGGGGAAGTAGGACGCATTTCAAGGATGCATTTTAAGGACCCTTTGAGCTTTGGCGAAATGAGACAACCTTGGCTTAGCGTTGTGACGTAAGTGGCCTTAAAATGCGCACTCGGGAGGATTCACACTTCAGGATTGGGACACAGTCATGGTTGCGTGGCGGAAGTTGAAGAAAAAGAAGAAGAAGGAAGAATAATAATAGGAAAAAAAACAGCATTTGGATCTTGCTACTGATCATTTATGTGAATAAAAAGTTTAATAAAAAAACATTTGTACACTGTTTGTATGATGACCACAATATGTGTTTGCTTTTACTTTTTACCAGTTCAGAATGAAACGGTTTGAAATCAACTACTAATGTCATATTTGCATTAATGATGTAAATGTAATCTAAAAGTTTGCCACAAGCTCCTCCCCTTTTCGGCTCATGGAGGATTTCATTTAGATTAGTGTTTGCAGTGATTTAATTTGTGCTTCTCTTTGCTGCGCTAGCTGATTTTGCCACATTAGCTTCGGTTTTGGTATTTTGACCATTATCTGCAGTGGGCTCGTCTGTTATGTTATTAAATTAGCAGGTTTCTTCTTGTGTTTTTGGTTTGGCATACACACTAATAATTTCTTAATTGATTTTGGGTTTCCAGAGTAGGTCAGAGGTTTTGCCGTATTAAACACAAATTGGTTTAACTCAATCATTGCTTTTAGTGTTATCCTTGCATTTTACTGATACGGAGAGACTCCAGTGCTGTCTGTTTCTTTTCAACTGTGAATAGCAGTGATGGTTTTAGGGCCATTTTGACTGATCTTAAAAAGGGTGATGGTAAACAACTCAAAGAGGATCACTCATCTCCGGTTGGAGCCTTCCTGACTAGCCAAGGACAACATCTCCATCTACTCTTTCAGAAGCCCCCGCACAAGGGCAACAAACACCTGGTTAATGTTCCCACAGGCAGCAATAGAGAATCTAATCTGAAGATATTGAGATTCTCAATGTGCCGCAGAGCTACGATCAACTCTGACCTTTCTGCAGCTCTGCAGGACGTGACATTAATCCAGACATTCCTCCCAGTCTTTTCAACAGTGTTTCTCTGTGGCTTTGATTAATCGGGAGATAAAGACGTTATCAAAGACTGTGCTAACATGCTATTACACCTGTGAACTTTAACAACTTCCATGTACTTCCTTCAGGGCACTTCTCTTTTTTTCCCATTTTTGTGATTGTTTCAGCTGAGTTCATTAAAAGAGCATCCGATATAACAAAAGTATTCATTTGAAAACTTCTGATTTACTTTAAAATGTTTCCATAGAGTAGTATTTATGATCCTGTTCCAAATTATTGTGTCTTTAAAATGTTTCCATAGAGTAGTATTTATGATCCTGTTCCAAATTATTGTGTCATAAATTTAGTTTTTCATCGATGGCATTGTGTCTCGGTGCTGCTTTGCAGAGGTGGGACCAAGTCACTACTTTACAGATCCAAATCAAGGCGAAAGTCAGTAAATTATGATGTTAAATCACTTCAAGTCATTTACAAAAAAGCAATTTGATAGCTTTCCTGTGGCTCAGTCTGTAGAGCAGTGCACAGCAATGCAAGGGTTGTTGGTTCGAGCCCCAGGATAAAAATGCCTGCCAAGTGTGTAAATATGTGTTATCCCCCCCGAAAAATACAAAGCCATTAAATCTAAGAAAAAATATTTAAAAAATTAAGGATAAAAAAAAGAAAATTCATAAAAATCTGCAGTAATCTTCAAGATCGACCCACTGTTTTTACACGCCTTAAATTGCACCAAATCAAGGAATGAACCTGAAAATGTTCTATAGAGCCATGGTCCAGTTTCCTCATACACTCTGTTCAGGCCAGATTCATGAGTCACAAAAAACTGTGCTTCAAGATGGAAATTGTGCCACTTGCTTCCAAGCAGGCTACTTTGGTATACTTTAATTTCTTTAAGAAAAACCCAATGTGTGCATAGATCCTTGGGCGTGTAGTACGCTACACATAAATAATCTTGATGGGCACCCTGTCCTAAAATTACAGAAGCATTTGCTCCCTTTTCTGCTCTTTTGTCTCATCACACTGAACCTTTGTAAATCTTAAGTGCAATAAATTAAGTTATGAAGACCATATTTAGCACAAGGTGAGGGTCTCAGGGTCTTTTGTATAAGTGGTGTGTAACCGATCGAGCTACAAACCCCTCATTGTGATGATTAAAAATATTCTGATTCAGATCTCGATACCAACCCTCGATGAATGACATGACGTGGCTGAAGTGAATCCAGAAGAATGAAAGAATCCAGGAATTCTTTAAACCATTGAAATGTACATTTTTTTGGTTGTTTTTTGGTTGTTTTGGGCTGATGAAGCAGAGTTATAATTTATCTAATTTATCTCTAGTTCTCCTCCATCTTCTGCTCCTTCACTGACTCCTGGCTGACTTCCCGGTAACTGAACTCTTTGTGTTGAACATGGATTTGATCCCTACTGTGGCGCGCAGTAAAATGGGTTGGTAAGGATCGGTTAGACTTGATGGTTATAGCTTTACCGAACTATAATCTTTTAAATAAATAAATCGCTTTTTCATTCTATCAAGTTTAAGGCTGAAAAACAAATCTAAAGCAGTGAAAATATAAACTAATTGCATGTCTATTACCATTTCATACAGTCATTTTTTGTCCTCAAGGAACCTGTATTTAATTTTTAATTAGATGTGCCGGGGCTAATTAAATGTGATTAATGTTTATTCACAAAGAATGCGCTGTTTTCCTCAGAACAAACAACCAAATGACTATAGGATAAACCCAGAAAAACAAGCTTCAGTGCTTTCAGATGAGTTCCTGCAAGCAGCCGTGATGCCATTTACCTTGAAAGCCTTGCAGAGTGAACCGATTACACCTTGTGTCAAACTTATTAAATATTACTTAATAAAGCAGTTCTAATGTACTTTAATTTAGAGCTAATTCCTTTTGAGAAAAGTCTGCATAAAGCCGTACTTTGCATATTTTTAGTGGTGTAACTCGCCTCTATTATACATATTCATAACATTATGATTAAATCTAAGCTGAAGGTGAGTAATTAACTCAGAGGGCACTGCTATGGAGCTCTTTTAGTGGAAATTGCTATAAAATTATTATTAATTATTATTAATTTTAACAACTTTTTTAAGCTGATTTATCTGCAGTGAAATTCTTTTAGGGGATTTAAAGCATCAAAGGTAACACTATAGTAATAAAGCTGGTACTTGCTTATCTTTTTTTTCAATATTTTACTTTTATAAACAGTAAAAAGATTTCAAAACAGTGATCATTATTTAACATTATTAATTAATCTTTAAAGAATTTCATTTCTGCTCTCACTGGACAGCATGCATCATTGCTATTCAATAATAATAATAATAATAAATTAGTCAATAATTGTCTTTTCTTTGCGATGGACCTGTCCAGGGTGTACCCCCACCTCTTGCCCAATGTGAGCTGGAGATAGGCACCAGCAGACCCCTGTGACCCCAAAAGGGAATAAGCGGGTTGGAAAACGAATGAATGATTTTTCTCTTCCTTCAAGAAGAGAATTTTATTTCTTTCATCCAAATTTCACAAATGTTTAAAACCAACTCAAGGCAACTTACTGAAAATAATACTTTTTTTCTCAAAGTTTTGGGGTTAGAAAACAAATGCAAAGCTTACAAAATGATTATTTGTTGTGGTTTGATGGAGTGAGGAGAAAGGCCAAACATGCTGCAACTTATTATTATGTAAAGAGAAAAACACATAAAAGATAAAATAAAAACAAAGAAACCACTTTCCATCATATTGACCGCAGATGAAATCAACACATGACCTACAAAGAGAGAAATCCACTGAAAATAGAAAAAACATCCCGCATTTAGAGAGAAGCAATGCAAGAAGAGAAACCTGCTGCAAATATGGAAACACACAGAAAAAGATTAACAAAGATTAAATCACAACAAATAGAGAAACCTGCCACATTCTGCTGAGAATATCTGAGGAACACGCTGCAAACAACCAAACTCCAAATAGAGAAACTTGATGTAAATAGAGAACATGCTTGATGTAGAAAAAACCTGCTGCCAATGAAGAAATCACAGCAAATAGAGAAACATGGTGCAAGTACAGTAAACTGCTACTAATAAAGCAAATAGAAAAACTTTTTGAACCTTCGGCATGTAGAAACCTGAGACTAAAGAAACTGGAAGCTAAAAGAGAAATGCGCTGTAAATATAACGCCATAAAAATAGAGAGTTCTACAGAAAATAGCAAAACTTGCTGCAAAAAGACAAACTTGCTGCGCATTTAAGAAACACACTGCAAATAGATTACAAGATCCAAATAGAGAAACTGGCAACGAAAAGAGAAACATGCTACAAGTACAGTAAGCTACTACAAATGGAGAACAGCGCTAAGATAAGTTAACACCCCACAAAACTCTCTGCAAATAGAACAAACAGAAAAGCAAGATGCAAATAAAAAAGAATAGAGAATAGCACTATAAAGAGAAACCAGTTGCAAAAAAATAAAACAAATACAATCATGCCCACTGGAAATTCACAGCAATTGAGAAACCCAGTTCAAATGAAATCTAGAAGTAGATACAGAATGTAGAAATTATGAAAGGGTTTTTTTATCTGCCACCATACTCTCTTCAACCTTAAAACCACAACCGTGGTGCTATATACATTTCCCGGACTGCTCCCTATGTGTCGCAGCCGGTGTGTTGGTGGTGTGTTTGCTATAATGCTATGTGCACTTTTTTGGTGATATTTAGTGGAAAAATGACAAGTACAGGTCATTTTGTGGTCACGGGGGTCTTCCGGTGCCCCCATTGGACGGTGAGAGGCGGGGTTACACTGTGGACAGGTCGCCAGTCTGTTGTTGGGCAACACACACTCACACATTCACACCTAAGGGGGAGATTATTCAATTAACCTAAAGGCATGTTTTTGGGATTGTGGGGGAAACCGGAGTACAATCTCCAGCCTCCGGTACAATCTTCCAACCTTCTAATTGGAAGGCCACCGGGCTACCAACTGCACCACCATGCCGCCCTACTACTTTCACTATATTCATTTTAGTTCGTACAACTTTAATCACGATGTAAGTTGCCATGGAACGGTCAGTAAACACATTTTCAATTAAAAATAAAAGAATGAAACTTAAAAAAACAACAGATTTTTTTGGTGAACTATCCAATTAAGATTCTTGGATAGTTCTTGGATAGGTTTCTTTTAAGCTGGCATCTGGAAGTGTTTGAGAATGGTACTTTGCAGTGTGTTCGTATGGCTTCTTTAGTTTGCTCACCTGTACTCCTCTTGAGTGAACACAGGAATGATGGACGGCTGCAGGACGGTGATCTCCACCACAGAACCACTGAACATCACTGGTTGCCCATCATCATACGCAATTACCGCCAACTGGAATGCAACAGGGAAACACCGCAAGAATCGTTTCAATTCAAACCGATTTCAAAGCAACCATGGATTTACAGGAAGCTCTGGATTCTTTACGACTCTTAAAGGTTTAATAAAAGCTTACTGTGCACCTACAGTGAATTTAGTGTTGGGCTCCTCATTCAGATTGACCCTTGTGAGGACGTTTCCAGAGTTCTCGTCCACCTCAAATATACTGGTGCTGTAAGCAAACTCCTTCATATTTACTCTGTAGTGAACTCGACTCGCGGCGGTGCCCTGAAAAGAATCAGAACACAAAAACAAAACTCAATTAAAATTCAATAACAAGAAATACCCAGAATCCAGAAAAAAGGTGTTATAGCTTTGTTCATGTGTTTTGTGCAATTGTCCTGTTGGAATATTTACTCAAAACACATTTTCAGAACACTAAAGAAATAGAAACCAAGGGAAATTGTTCGAGAAGAAGAGGTATTTACGTTTTATTCTGAGGGTTGTTATTTTATCAAGTTAAAGTTAGTCTTTAGTTTAGTTTTCCTTTACCATTTTCTTTACCATAACCCCCCAAATAAAGAGCCCCTCTGCTGACTGTATCTTGGTTATGAGTTCATTCTGTCGTACCAACGCTACTGATGGGGGTGAGACATGCACCACACGCCCTCTTCCCCTTAACCTTTATGCTGAGCACTGTAATTTAAGTCGCTTTGGGATAAAATTGCAAGCCAAAATCCTAAACTTATAAATTGAAACTTTAGTAGACAGAGTACATTCGTTTACATTACATACACTCTTTTTATTTGGTTCTTCTGAAGTCACACCACCCTTTGTGTGTATATTACAAGTCTGTCAAAGACGTTAGGCAGTGTTGGCCTGAGGACAAAGACACTAACAGTCATCCTGTGATGGGGATAATTACCAGGATGAGAAATGGAGCCTGTTGGGGGCTGTCCTCCAGAGAAAGTGCCGGGAATCCCATCCATCTTCCCATGGGTGAGGACTGCATCACACATAGGTGAAGGCAGGGCATGTATTTTTGTGCAAAAGCAGACTTTAAATGATATTTTTAACTACTCTTGTGTCTTCGGGGTTATTGGGAGGATGGGGGTCACAGAGCATTTGAAATCATTAGGAGTTCTGTCACACCGGTTTACCGTAAAAGTAAATCATTTCTTTTTCCTCGCTGCGCTAATAAGAATGTTG